AAGTCATGGCAGGTGTAGGCAACGGAGCAAAACCGATCCTTAATAGCCATTGAAAGGAGGCAATAAATGTCGCTGTTAAACAGGTAGTCAGCAAATCCAATATGTTTACATCATCTGTACTTAATAATACTAAATTAAAAGCTACCATAAGCATTCTCTTTTCACTCACATCAAATTGGAATACTCGGTAAACTGAGAAGGCGAGACAGATTGGTCGGGGTCAACTTAGTGCGCAATAATGCTACGAATATGATTTTCGAAAACTTACCTCTATTCACGAGGTTAACAATCACAAAAAAATGCGAAATCGTATGTTTCATCAGTATTGATTTTGAAGCCAGCAGGGGCATTTTTAGCCTGCGAACCGCAGACGTATTTCCGGTCGTCGCTTCTGAGACTGGAGCTAAAAAAACTGGATACTCTCGCAAGCTAGGGTATTTTAACTGTTCTCTTTTTATAATTCCCAAGGGGCCGATCGTTTACTACGTCCCAGAGGGGGGTGGATTGGGTTTTGAGAATTGTGTGGTGTATCAAAACTTTACTCACCCAACCCCCCCTTAAAATACATGACAATTACATATGAAAATTGTATCAGATCCATTTCACTCCACTTAATCAGTAAAAGGATAAAGGAAATCCTAACGGCCATATTTCATATTTCGACCCCCTTCACATTTTGTGCATTCCAAAATTGACCCCCAAAATCAAGCCCCTTAGAAAATTGTAGCGCCCACTAGCCCTGACCCCACCACACCTGGCGTGTAATAAACGATCGGTCCCAAAAATTAAATCAAATGGCGTATTACGCACTGCGTCATTTCGCGGAAACATGAAATTCAAACCCCTATTGAAGTTAAGTCCATCGTTTTTTCGGACATCCTAGGAAAATGCATGAAAATTGTTAGCAGTTTTTAGCTTGTTTTGTTTCCTTTTCAAAATACCAGAGGTTAAATCGTTACAGAAGGCGACACTGGATCATTCCTTCTTTAATATTTTGGTCGCCCTTTTATGTAGAGGCGTTCATAGTTGTCTCAAAATAGGCTTAACTACGTGGTCAGTTACATTAGCATGCACCACTGCTCATTACATACATTTCTTACCTCAGAATATTCTCAGTCTTCCTGATCCATTCTTTGTAGGGCCAACAGACGGTTCTCTGTATTGTTGAATGAGATAAGCATCACATGATTCCAAGGGACTTTCCCGGAACAATTCTTCTGTCTCTCAGCGTTCATTAGCCTTAAGTTTATGCATTCCAAGGGCGAGCTACTATTCAAATAGAAAGCCTACTTGACTGAATGCAGGAAAAGTAGTCAACAGCAAACCTTGAGATTATTTTGAGGTAAGAGAACAATCCCGTTAGAAGCTCGACATGATCTAGAAGTGGACAGTTTTGGGGTTTTTTTTAACCACGAGTAATATCGAGTGAGTATTTCCGCAAAAATATATTTCTATTTTATAGCACGAATTATGTCAACCAGACATAAAAATATCGACTTAGCTTCACTTTGAGTAATCGTTTCTCGCGTTGTCAGGTATAAACGACTCGCCTATTAAATTTATTAGCGGAGCTTTACCATCCATTTGGCTGAAACACGTTCCTAACAAAATTTCATTTATGTAGTAGAAACCATGAGTTCTTTCTATCTCTAGTGATAATCGGTCAAGGCATTATTTTCATACTAAGCATTTACGTAATTACATTCTATGTGCGTCTAGATTTCGATTTCGCTTGCGATATTACTAACTCACGTGACGGAATAACAGGGAAAGAGCTACATGTATTTTTTCCTATGTACGAAACACCTGAGCTCGCATTTCAGATAAGCTCCTTAACCTGTGACTTCAGCCTTAGGATGTTTATTCCTTTATGTTGCCGGTTTTCACTGTCACGCTAGACTGCAACTCAGTAGGTTTTTTTCTCAAAATCGTTGTAGCGTAGCTTAACAGTCTCAAACGCGCGAGGCGCGCGAGCCTCACAACGCCCGTGTCTCGCTCTTCGTTTTCAGCTTCGCTCCAGACCTTTTGTTTCGCGGCTGGCGCAAAAATACGGACTGTTTTGCAGTTTTTCTCACGCCATCAAAAATAAAAATAAAAATCATCTAATAGATAAAGTCCAGAACACAGGAGATGAGAGAAGGCAAATATGCGAAGATCCTCGCCAAGCCAGCCCAGAGCAATTTGTCACACGAGGAGAAATGTAGAGAAATTATTTGCCCAAATTAATACACTGTTAATAGAGCCTCGTATGAAGCCGCCATGTTAATGTCCATCTAGATAGGCACTAACACGGCGACCGGAAACCAACAAAAGTCAGTTTCCTACGAAAGCATCTCCCAGTGAAGTGAATCATCTTCCGAAGAGTACATGAATACCGAAATTCCCTAAATTACAGTTTTCTCAGCTGCCACACGCAAAAGCTTTGAAATTCAAGTGTAGTGTAATACAGGGGCACCCAATGGATCTGTTCTTCAAAATATCTGTTCTTCATGCAAATTTTTGCTGGCTGGGAGATGTGGAAGAAATAATAGTCCTTTGAAGGAAAGTGTTGCTGGGAAAAAGATAATTCAGGGTGTCAGAGGGGATTTGAAGTCTAGAATAGCTGCTACGGGTTACTTGTATGGGTTGCTTACCACTCAAGATCTGAATTGTGCCCTATGAAACTTCCCAGTAAGCCAGGTTGCAGGTTGTAAGGTTGCTGGCTGGGAACTCTTCCATCAGTCTTGCTGGGAGTGAGGAACAGATAATTTTTTTCCAGCAATCTCCCAAAATGCTTAAAATAGTCTCAGAAAACTTTATTCACGCTTTGTTGTTGTTTTTCGGTCTTTTTCTCAAAATTTCCCGTTGGGTGCCCCTGGTAATACGAAGCAAAGAACCCTTTCGATACAGAAATTTACTAACAATCCTCATAGCAATTTTAGCGCAAATTAAGTTATTAACATGCTTGTAAAATCTATAATGAAAGTTATGAAAGCAGCAAGGAAATGAAAGATTATCAAAAGGGACTAAGAATCAGTATTGTCTTCAAACGCCAAAAAATTGTTAATCGCAAATATGGCAAGAATAACAAATTTAACGAGGAAGTCGAAGTTCAAAGGACAAATGCGAAAAACGTTGTCCTCAGCTTGCAATCGTGTTCATTTATCCCCTCTTTTACCCTGATTGAAGGACAATTTGACGAGAATGAGTGCTCCTTGTAATGGTTCGCCGCCGCATTTGTCCTTACATTATTACGTTATATATTAAGTACACGATTTGTTTTCTTTGCATGCACAGGTGCCGTTATAGAGAAAAAAGTTACTCGGTGACTGCCGAACAATACTTTCGATGAGGTTCGCCAGACGGTTTATTTGTACAGTGGTTTTGTGTGCTTGTCTCAGAGGACAGGGAACTGATGGAAACCAGAAAGCACAACACAAAAATGTCTGCATAAACTGTACTTGCTATGATCAGCACAAAAACAAATACAATCTCTGGCCCTTACAAAACCTCGATGATCCTGAAAATCCCAGGTTTGTAAACAACTACATTATTAGGGACCATACGAAACTACGACAGCGAAGGCAACGGGAACGTCAAAAAGGCAATAATTTAATGAGCAAAACAAAGACCCTGCACGTGCTTCACGCTTTTGTGCAATTTTCTTTGCCGTTCCTGCACACTATGACATGAAATCATGACTAAATTTCAACTTTACTTGAGAACGGAAACAGCAAAGGATGTAAATCAGTCTACCATGAACTCGGGTGCGGTCCTCTCGCTTCAGCTCCAACCTAAATTCCCTTCTTTTAAGTAACTGGGAGACTTGGGATAATCGAAAATGTTTAAAGACTTTAAAATGATGCGAAGTATATTTTTCAGCAAAATCTCCATGGACGTCGCCGTTGTTGGATCGTAAGATCCCTCTTATAGTATTGCCATGTAACACCCTGTACCTAACCTGTGATCTTTAGCTACCTGTTGCTGACTCCCAGTTTAATTTGCTCCCATTTCATGTCCTCAACAGCTTCAGCAAAGCACATGGAGGCTACACTTATAGTTACAGCCCTTGCTTGTCTTTTAAGTTAGGGCCACCAGATCTCAGCGAGTGTAGGAACAATGTCGCAGTAAGTTTATAACAAAAATGTTAATGAAAATGTAATTTTTAAGTTCCATCGAAAGGGTCAAAGGCCACGCGCAACCCGCCTTTTCTTTTCTTAACTGAGTTGCTTAGCATTTGCTACACCATAGCTTACCATAGTTGGAACATCATAGGGAGCTCTAAAGTATCAGTCTCTTACGGTCTTCCTCTTATCAAGGGTTCTTAAGCAGTAGTTAAAGTTGAAAGCAGGTGTTTATTCAATTATTTACATACTTGCTGTAAAAATCAAAACAAACAGAAAATTGTAAAACTAACAAAATAAAACTCCCTCCATGTTATAAAATAATATTGTCTTTCATAAACCTCACCTGTTCGCAGATATGTCAATCAACGACAAATGTATATTATCAAAAACTAGCAGATCAGGGGGGAGTTAAGTTGGACTACGATGCTGATAAGAAGCGACTACAGCTGATATACAAGTAAGTACCTGTGTCTGGCTTTGAAAACTGCCATTAATTTTACAGGAAATTTAGACTAGAGTTAATATAAAAATGCCCTTATATGAGTTTATTTTCCCCTACTATCTCAAATTTACTGGTGTCGCCTTTTACCCATAAATTTTTGACGGAAGATTTCTTTGATGATTTCACTGAACCGAGCAGGGAGCAGGAAGTATTCTCCACACATCATCAGATATTAACTATCCATTCATACCGTCAGGTGTATGATCGAAAACCCGCGCCATATATTAGAACTGGACGTCTTTTGAATGAAGGTACCGAAGAAAATAAAATTGTGACGCCATCCAAACTGTAAATTATTTTCTCAATTATGACACAGCAGTTTTCACTAATTCGTTTCCTTTTTACAAAAAAACTTTAAAATCCCTTGTTATTATGAATAAAATGAATGTGTCGTCCAGAGCCATACTTACAGTATCTCTCAGTTCTTCAGCCCCTGAACAAGGAAGGTTCGCCCCTAATTCTGATTCNACTATCCATTCATACCGTCAGGTGTATGATCGAAAACCCGCGCCGTATATTAGAACTGGACGTCTTTTGAATGAAGGTACCAAAGAAAATAAAATTGTGACGCCATCCAAACTGTAAATTATTTTCTCAATTATGACACAGCAGTTTTCACTAATTCATTTCCTTTTTACAAAAAAACTTTAAAATCCCTTGTTATTATGAATAAAATGAATGTGTCGTCCAGAGCCATACTTACAGTATCTCTCAGTTCTTCAGCCCCTGAACAAGGAAGGTTCGCCCCTAATTCTGATTCTGAGTTTTCGTTAGAATGAAAATAGACGCTTGAACTATTCAAATTGAAGAGGAGGAAGTCAATTCAGTTTTCAACACCGTTCAACGTAATACGAGAATTTCTTACTTTGGTGTAGGATATTATGACCCGTTCCATTCTTTTATTTTGACAGTTCTTATAACAACACATTAATAATTAGTTGATTTATCTCTGTATTACATTTGCTAGCAAAATTGTAACCTCGAAGCCCAAAGTCATACTTATATGCGATCCAACGATCGAGGACGCAATATTTGACATCGTGAACGTTGAAAAAGAATGGGTAAGTCGAGATAAAACTAAAAATCGATTCAATAACTGGGAAATTTACATAATTGTGCCTGCTATAAGTTTATTTCTATTTTAGTTCGAGTAAAAATACCTTTACTTACGGATCTTTGTCAATTGAAAAATGATTCAGCTCAAAAATATTTTAGAAAACGAGGCCGTGTTTAAAAAGGAGGGTTTAGTTTTTGCTGCAAATTGCAACGTTGTCTTGTTTAAGCGACGGTAAAACGGCCAACAGAACCGTGCAACTTGATTTACAACATTGCTGTAAAACGAGTTGAATAACGATATTGCGCATTTTACCAACCACGAATCAAACCTGTCTTGCAGAAAATCAGGTTGTTGCAGGTTGCGAAAAGTTGTTGCAGAAAGGAGAGAGTAGTTGTACTTTTTCCAAACAGATCTGTACATGTTGCGCGTTTTTACCGGCCCAAAGCAAACTTGTTTTGCAACAAATGACATAAAATAACTTCTTTGTTTGGTGTAACCCCAACGCAATTTGATCCAATCAGAAATCAGTCATATGCGCATATGTCATGCGCATTGGAACATTTAATGAAAAATTGCGCACTAGAAATGTAAATTATTATTAATTATTAGAAGTAGTATTAACGCAACATGTCACAACCTGATTAGTTGCAAACAGGTTTGAACTTAATAGGGAGCTTAAGCAACTACTACTACGACGACGACGACAACTTCAAAAAACAATAGGTTTAATGATCAAAACAACAGCTCTGATCACGCTTTTTAGTACATTTCTTTGACGTCCACTGCACGACTACGACGTGAAACCTCCTAATTTGACGTTTTATGGAGGACGTGGACATACGACGACGAAGTCTCCTTCCGCTTTTTGAACTTGAATAAAATCCTTAAGAATTCAACTCCAGGAAAAGTCGCCTGCATTTGACATATTGAGCAGGTCCAAATAGACGCGATTGAGTTTTAAAGGGAGCAAACTAATTTTTCTAGCGACGTTTTCACTGCCGTCGTCGTCGTCTTTGCTCAAAGTCCCTAATAGGTGGTATATAAAACGCTCAAAATTGCTTTTCAACTCATTTTGCAGTAATGTTGCAAGACAATTTGCACGTTTTGATGTTCGTTTTTACCGTAGTTATAGAATACTGGTTTAATATCAACTAAGATTATCTACAGACAATCATCCAACTACCAAACAATTAGCGATAGGAAGAAAAAATAGTGTGAAAAATTTCAAGGTAAGTAGCTTGTACTAATTGGTTTGCTTTTACTCCGCAGATTTTTAATCTCACCCACAAATGCGCATGCCCAAATGCTTGTTTGACTGATCCACCTGATCCTACTAGTTCCAGTGATCCTAGTGTTCATTCAAGTAAGCCAAATTATTATTCATTCAAAACATTCCTCAGATCGGATCGTATCCGGTTAATTTTTCATAACCAGCTAGCGATGACCAAATTTGGAAGACGCTTACGATGTACGGATTACTTTAATTGTTACTTTAGCTCCTCTTCACTCCCTGTAACTGGATCTAAGAATACTGAGATGACATTTTTTTGAATAACTAATAATTCTATATGTATGTTGGTGTCAGCAGCTGACGTCATCTAGTGTGACGTCAAGGTGCTTTTTTGGGATGCCAGGCAACACGATTTTAAGCCAGTGCTTATAACTATCATCATTATTTCTTTAAAATATTTTTCCGTTTCTGATTGGCTCAAATCCCACAGCTAATTCTTCACAACGAGCTTACGTTGATCCAATTTGGAAGACGTTTGCGATATCCGGAAAATAATCGCCTCAGAAAAGGAACTCAACCGAGAAGCCCTTGGGACGAGGTTGTATTTTTTTGGTAGAGTTATAGAAAATGGCAGAAAATTTAAAACGTTTTGCGAAAAAGAAATAGCGGAACTATTGTGGAAGCAATCATCTAGAAAAGATTCTAAGATAATATTTATAACAATAATAATAATTAAAATAGAGTTAAAGCTTCTTCTTTAGTTTTGATCTGCGCAGAACTATGGCGGTCGTGAGAAAAGCTTTGCGATAAAGAAAGAGTTCTATCCATTCTCTGACAGAGCCTTTCTTTCACTTTCTTGATTTTGGCGTACTCGAGAAAGACTCTGCGGGATTCAACTAAAGTCTTTGTTGAGCATTTTCTGCTTGTTTCCGGGACACAGTTTCGACCCGAGCGTAATGCAGGGACACCCAATGACCAAATGTTTCCATACACGTCAAAGGTGTCTCATATAGTTTTTTCTACACTTTAGAATTCTGTTTCGTTGAGTTGAGCTTCCTTAAAAATTACCATTTATCGGTTTATATTTGAACCCTTTAAAATATAATCCTTGCCTGAATACATGCCGAATACACCCTGAGTTACTTCTGCTGTCTATTCATAAACCAGGAAAGAATTTCTTGTCTTGGGACGCACAGTTCTTTATGGTCGGCCATTTGTTTCAAAATTATGACACGATATACGTGCGGTTTTTTCCCACGTATACCTGCAATCATTCCTGCTACACGATATACGTGCGTTTTTTTGTCAGGTATACTTGCGTTTTATTCCCAAGTATATGACCATTTTCTTACAAACGCGCATATATATATGCGCACAAAAAACCCATATATATGCGTTATAAAAAAGAATGTGGTATATGCGGTCGCAGAAAGTCGTCGTATAAGAGGCAACGAATTATACCGTCAGCAAGAAACCCCCTTCATGTACGATGGAGCTGAAAAGTAACTTCAGTTTGAATCAAGCATGGCTGCAATGCCCTCGTTTATTTCGAGCAAGATTTCGTCCTTATTCATTGCCCTCACAGTAGTGGTGGTTGTTGGCTCCCCGACAACGGATTTGTTGGAATCCGTGGATTGTCTCTTGAGAGACTGTGTACGCTATTTCACAAATGCTGACCGAAACAACGATTCCTTTTTACAAAAAAACTTTAAAATCCCTTGTTATTATGAATAAAATGAATGTGTCGTCCAGAGCCATACTTACAGTATCTCTCAGTTCTTCAGCCCCTGAACAAGGAAGGTTCGCCCCTAATTCTGATTCAGAGTTTTCGTTAGAATGAAAATAGACGCTTGAACTATTCAAATTGAAGAGGAGGAAGTCAATTCAGTTTTCAACACCGTTCAACTTAATACGAGAATTTCTTACTTTGGTGTAGGATATTATGACCCGTTCCATTCTTTTATTTTGACAGTTCTTATAACAACACAATAATAATTAGTTGATTTATCTCTGTATTACATTTGCTAGCAAAATTGTAACCTGGAAGCCCAAAGTCATACTTATATGCGATCCAACGATCGAGGACGCAATATTTGACATCGTGAACGTTGAAAATGAATGGGTAAGTCGAGATAAAACTAAACATCGATTCAATAACTGGGAAATTTACATAATTGTGCTTGCGATAAGTTTATTTATATTTTAGTTCGAGTAAAAATACTTTTACTTAACGGATCTTTGTCAATTGAAAAATGATATTTTAGAAAACGAGGCCGTGTTTAAAAAGGAGGGTTTAGTTTTTAATGCAAATTGCAACGTTGTCTTGTTTAAGGGACGGTAAAACGGCCAACCGAAACGTGCAACTTGATTTACAGCATTGCTGTAAAACGAGTTGAATAACGATATTGCGCATTTTACCAACCACGAATCAAACCTGTCTTGCAGCAAAACAGGTTGTTGCAGGTTGCGAAAAGTTGTTGCAGAAAGTAGAGAGTAGTTGTACTTTTTCCAACAAAATCTGTACACATTGCGCGTTTTTACCGGCCCAAAGCAAACTTGTTTTGCAACAAATGACATAAAATAACTTCTTTGTATGGTGTAACCCCAACGCAATTTGATCCAATCAGAAATCAGTCATATGCGCATATGTCATGCGCACTTGAACATTTAATGAAAAATTGCGCTCTAGAAATTTAAACTATTATTAATTATTAGTAGTAGTATTAACGCAACATGTCAAAACCTGATTAGTTGCAAAGAGGTTTGAACTTAATAGGTGGTATATAAAACGCTCAACATTGCTTTTCAACTCATTTTGCAGTAATGTTGCAAGACAACTTGCACGTTTTGGTGTTCGTTTTACCGTAGTTATAAAATACGTGTTTAATATTAACTAAGATTATTTACAGGCAATCATCCAACTACCAAACAATTAGCGATAGGAAGAAAAAATAGTGTGAAAAATTTCAAGGTAAGTAGCTTGTACTAATTGGTTTGCTTTTACTCCGCAGATTTTTAATCTCACCCACAAGTGCGCATGTCCAAATACTTGTTTGACTGATCCACCTGATCCTACTAGTTCCAGTGATCCTAGTGGTCATTCAAGTAAGCTAAATTATTATTCATTCAAAAGATTCCTGAGATCGGATCGGATGCGGTTAATTTTTCATAACCAGCTAGCGATGACCAAATTTGGAAGACGCTTACGATGTACGGATTACTTTAATTGTTACTTTAGCTCTGCTTCACTCCCTGTAACTGGATCTAAGAATAGTGAGATGACATTTTTTTGAATAACTAATAATTCTGTATGTATCTTGGTGTCAGCAGTTGACGTCATCTGGTGTGACGTCAAGGTGCTTTTTTGGAATGCCAGGCAACACGACTTTAAGCCAGTGCTTATAACTATCATCATTATTTCTTTAAAATATTTTTCCGTTTCTGATTGGCTCAAATCCCACAGCTAATTCTTCACAACCAGCTTACGTTGATCCAATTTGGCAGACGTTTGCGATATCCGGAAAATAATCGCCTCAAAAAAGGAATTCAACAGAGAAGCCCTTGGGACAAGGTTGTATTTTTTTGGTAGAGTTATAGAAAATGGCAGAAAATTACCATTTATTGGTTTATATTTGAACCCTTTAAATATAATCCTTGCTTGAATACATGCCGAATACACCCTGAGTTAGTTCTGCTGTCTAATCATAAACCAGGAAAGAATTTCTTGTCTTGGGACGCACAGTTCTTTATGGTCCGCCATTTGTTTCAAAATTATGACACGATATACGTGCGGTTTTTTCCCACGTATACTTGCAATCATTCCTGCTACACGATATACGTGCGTTTTTTTGTCACGTATACTTGCGTTTTATTCCCAAGTATATGACCATTTTCTTACAAACGCGCATATATATATGCGCACAAAAAACCCATATATATGCGTTATAAAAAAGCATGTGGTATATGCGGTCGCAGAAAGTCGTCGTATAAGAGGCACCGAATTATACCGTCAGCAAGAAACCCCTTCATGTACGATGGAGCTGAAAAGTAACTTAATTTGAATCAAGCATGGCTGCAATGCCCGCGTTAATTTCGAGCAAGATTTCGTCCTTATTCATTGCCCTCACAGTAGTGGTGATTGTTGGCTCCCCGACAACGGATTTGTTGGAATCCGTAGATTGTCTCTTGAGAGACTGTGTACGCTATTTCACAAATGCTGACCGAAACAACGATCGATTCAGTTAGAAATTAGTGTCCGACAGGCAAAACACAACTCATAAGCTCTTGATGTAATGTGAAACATGACCTTGAGACCTTTCTTCTTTTCTCTCTCGCACGCGAATTATCACCTTTTCGCCTCCACGAACACATTCTATGCCTCCTAGTGTCGAAGCTTTTTATTATTTCCCTGGTATTCTCACTGACTGTAATAACCTTCTACCTGCCTCTCTTTCCTTAGTGTTCCTCCACTTTAATTGTGATTTTCATGGTTAACTAACTCGTTCTCGTTCAACTTGCATAAAATGTCCCTCAGGTATCAATTTGCTATTAGTTCTCAAGCCCCGATTATTTGGAAGGATAGTTTATTTATAACTTCAGTTTGGCGTTTTTTTGCGGCCAATGGCAAATCAGTATTTTTGATTATAGCAGCTAGTTTCACTCTCTGCACCATAGTAGCAACCGACGAGGAACTGCATTCTTGCAGAATTCATAACATTCGCATAGGCACCACAGTAAATTCCTACGAAGGAACAACACGACATCGCGCTTTTGTTTAAAGACTCACTTCTGATCTCAAAAAAAATTAAATCGGACTGCATCAGGCTATCAGCGGTGAGAATGATCTTGACTCACGCAAAGCATAATTCTCCATACTTGGCCGGTAGCTTTAGTTTAAGCTACCGTGTACAACTCAAATCTGAAGATCTCAGTCACTATCCGTGAAAACTGAAAATCCTTGAAACAAAACTTATGAGCAGGGCCCAGCGTCATACTGACATAGCAGCCCGGGAGGGGCAAGGGGAGGGGGGGGTACTGAACAAATTCTTATTCAGCGGAGGCCCACCCCTTAACCTTTTATATACCATTTTTCACGGTTTCGTATACCTTCTATTGACAAATGGTACTCCTTCACATATCTTGCTTAGAACTTTGTATCCCTTTTAACTGCTGGAAACCTGCACTGTCATAAAATAGGAATCAGTCACAAATGTAGAACGCTTTCTCGACGGGTAAGGGGTTCGACCTCGGGGCGGAGCCTTCCCGTACAAATATTTGTTAAGTACTTCTCCGGGATTTCGGGCGGAGCCTCCCCGTATAGGCCATCATAGGGAGTACCCTCTCCCCTGGCATAGCAAGAAATAATCACATTCCCGGACAAAGAAACTTACATGCATGCATGTAGTTATTCTGCAGATCCAGGATTTACGGAGAAAACCATAGAAACTAAAATATTTAGGGCTCCGTAATATTAAATTAAAGCTTTAGGCTTAAACAGAGGTCAAAGAGAATTAAAACACTTTACAACTGCATGTCAACTCCTAGCAGGAACACCTAAGGAACCATAAACCACAGGAGATGATTACTCAGTATGCATGTAATTCTCTGTAGTGCTAGTAACTTTAACTTTAACTTTATTATTCCATCGTTCATATAGTACAAAACTCAGTAAAGCCAAAGCCGAGGGCTTAAACGACCTGTGGTCAAAATGACAGAAATTATTTTATGTAGAAATGAAGCCACTGAAGGCGAAATTTCAAACCTAAAACAAGATACAAAACTTAAATTAAGTAATGCAAGCAGTCCTATAGCAGAGGTAAAACTAGAAGTACTAGTGACAAATAAACTAACAATAAACTATGATAATCCTGCCCTAATTCAATCCAGGCTTAAAAAGTAAAGTTTTAGTCTCTATCAAGAGACTATAAAGGGGACAGAGAGGGCATCCCCCATATACACCCTATTCCATAGGTAATTCGTCTCGAGTTATTTTTAACACCACAGATCTCAAGGAGGATTAGACAACAGCCAATCACATAGCGCGAATGTGTTCCGCGTGGATGACCCACGCCACGAGAGCCACGCGTCCTCCACGAAATGACGCAGAACAAAATGGGGGAAGACGCGGAGAGCGATTTTGCTATTCCTTTTGTCGACGAAAACGACTACAGCGAGATTTCTGCGAAAGCTGTGTCAGCGAAACCGAAATTAAAAAAGAATCGCCCTTCCTCTCTTGTATAGAGCTAACAGTAGAGCAGGGAAACCCTTAACACACTGAATATTCTCTCAGGATCATTTATAATTTACAGTTTGAAGAGAGCAATTTCTGGTTTGATGTTT